GTAGGAAGACAATCTTTATCACAGATTGATTGATTAATTCTTAATCATAAAGTTCCTGATACATACAAAATGTTCTGCCTCACGAACATGGGTGGGTTGAAGTTATCGCCCTCACCATCAATGCTTGCTGGTCAGTAACTCAACCCTCCCTCCTTTTGTGATGTTAGGCTCATTTAGGCTTATTTTTGTATATACGTCATACCTCACACAATCCTCTGTTTCACAACCTTTTGGAAAGCACTATTTCTATAAGTACCAATTTACAAGCTTATCAGGCAGTTACAAGCTATGGATTGTGGGTAAAACACCGATGCAGTGCCTCTGTTGTCTATAGTATGCCAAATAGAGTATAAGCGTTAAGAAGGGTATATTGTAGGATAGTTGTTTATTTAAGCAGGCAGAAAAAGTATAGAGGTAAATGAGTTGTGGATAAGGGAACGAGTGTAGAAATAATATTAATTGCTAGTCAACATAGTGTACAGGAGAGTAAAAAGTTAATACAGGATAAACAGGAAGGAACTCACAGTAACTTGGTGCCGATGTTATGCATCACACCAGTCTTGGGGTTTATTCAGCTGACATTTAAACTGTGACGTAGTTCGAATGCATATACCATCTTGAGGTCGTCAGCAAACAGAAAAGTTTTTCAACGTTCAGAGCGATTGCATATGTCGCCAACATACATGCTGAACAGTAGAGGATCGATGCCTGAGCCTTGGAGGATACTAATTTTAATGTTCTGAAAATCGGAGAAGTGTTTCCCCATTATGACTTCCTAAGCTCGGTCTTTTAAGATGGATGAGATCCATTTAGGAACTTTGCCTCCTGTACCAAAAGTCTTTAATTCATATATGAGAGGAGAGTTTTGTGCTTTGTCGAACGCTTTAGTCAAGTCAATGTAAAGAGTATAAACTAGTTTCCCACCACTCCTATTGTTCACTTCGCAGTATTCCAGGTGACAGGCTATGCATGACGGTTTGGAAACAAACTCATGTTGTGAAGATATAATCAATTAGTGATTATCCAGATGGTTGTCAATCGCTTTCTCCAAAGTTTTAGATATGATGGAAGTATGCTCAATCGTGTGACAGTTGTCTACATCTAGTCTGGACCCCTTTTCAAAGTAAGGGATGATTTATATAGTTTTCCACTGACAAGGAAAAATGCCTGGATCAAAGGACAGATTTAATATTTTGGTAAGCAGGATGTGAATGTCAGATCCCCATATTTGATTGAATTAGCCAGCATTCCATAATGACGACTTCCGTGGGAAGGTTTTAGTGAACTTATTATATCTTTCACAATACTCGACATGCGTTCATTCTGACCACATTTAGTGAATGCCAGAGCAAATGTATTGCTAAGCAACTCAGATTGTTCTGTCAGGTCTCTTATAAGTGTATCATTGACTTTTAGGACAGTAGGACCATTAGAGTGAGTACAGAGTTTCTTCTTTGGATTAGCTGTTAAAAAGCTATTTTATTTCATAAATTGGAACACACTCGTTCAGCTCCTTACTATTTGTTTGTTCAAAACTTTTAATATTACCAAAAACCGGTTGGATGTTGAGTATAGTTGAAAAGTCATGTTGAACAAAGAACGTTTTCCGCAACCCCCAGACTTCAGATTTGAATTTGGTAATAATATAATCACAATAAGGGACGTATGGTTGTTTTGTTATAATTTGGGTGATTTAGTCCAAACAGGTCTTGAGATTAAACTAAAGGAAATCTAGCGTAGTTTTAACGTCACTGAATGAAAATACTCATCTTAACTGAAACCACGAGTTGGAACGGCTTCCAGGAACTCCAACAGAGCCTCCAGAGACCCTTGAAGAGCCGAAGAGTCTGCATCCAATAAGAATGTGATGAAGCTTCATGGAATATCAACGTGGCACGCCACTATTGGACTGTAGCATAACGTGACTTTTTGTGGATTGTCTGACTTATGATGTTGACATAACAAAAGCTAATATCCCGAAATACCCATGATTTTCTGTACATTTTGATTTTTGCCCAACAAACACTTCTCCAGCTTTCTTTTATCTTCTGATTTGCGACTGTGGGGTTCGATACGTTTGAGTGTCGTAGTTGTATACCACATTATGCGTTAATCAAGTAGCGAACATAAGACCACCTAGCAGAATATCGGTGTTGGACCAGTCGGTGTTTTGCAAAGGTTCTGATAGAGTCTATGAAAACATTTGTTCCATTAGAAGTGCAAGAGCACTTTTGGGCAATGCGTTCACAGTCTACTTTGTGATTAATGCCTGATAATTCAAGACTAGTGTATTCAGTATATCTCGAAGCACCGTGTATAAATATCAAGTCTAGTAGGCTGATATTTTCGGTAAGCTTGTTGACTATCTGTGTTCAACTGTTTGCTTTTACCACTTTGATGAATTTTTCAATGTGAGAATGACCACGTAACGAATTCCAACTAACAGACGGCATATTGAACTCATAACTTATTATTTTAGCTACAGGTAATGAAAATAGGTAAGTGAGTACTTCATTCAGATATGCATCCACAGCGCGAGCGGCATTTGTTGGTCTATAGATGCAAACTTTTATAAAATGCTTCTGGGCACAATTATCTATAGTTATGAATATGGCGTCATCTAACAGTTCATAACCCTCTAGGAAGATTAAAATTGACAGAATATCAGATCGCACATATATTATACAGCCTCTACTTTTGGCTGAATTTCGATGTTTGTGGTACATTTTAAAACCATCTACAAACAGTAGTAAATCAAAAATATCAGGCATCTACCAGGTCTCAGTTACTAGAATACAAAATGGATTGACCAAGTAAACTACAGATCTAAGGTTAGCTGTCTTATTGCTCAGAGAGTGTGAATTAAAGAACAATAGAAAGCTGAAACACGGCTCGGCAACAGAAACATTGTGATAGATCATTAGTAAACCGATCAAAGCTTCCTCGACAGGTGCAGGCAGTGTGTGTCATTTCAAAATAAGGCTGTAGATGAACTGGTTGCATCTGCCGATCAGTTGACATTTTTTGTCAAACAGAAGTGCAAAACAACGTCACAGGGTCGGCGAAATGTCACTGAGCTTCAGCCAAGTCATCCAGCGGTCGGGTGACGGAATGCCGAACAGTTGATCATTCCAAGTCAAGTTCAAGGACAATCGACATGTATTAATTAACTGAAAATTATAGACTGGCTAATGTGGTGATGGTTACACTCTCTTTGTGCCTACTCTTACTAAAATATTTTTGTAATAATGACCTTTGTGTTATATGGTTTTCAAATCGGTCATAGTACCTTGATACGACGGAAGGCTAAACCACGTTAATTTTTGACTGCGAGATGTGACATTGAAGTTAACTGTTTGTCACGCCTCTCCCGTTTAACTCGAGTAGACCTTCAATCATTCGACAAAGACCATCTACGTTAGTGATCTAAAAATGTGATGAGTTTTCCTTCCGAGAGTCATTACGATTGTGATGGGGTGGGAAACATTACTAATATAATCATTATTAATTCTAGACGTTAGTGTGAAGGTGGAGTGACCAGCACTCTGATAATTTTTGTCAGTCTGCATTGTAAAAGGTTGGTTACGCTTAAGACTTCCATCAGTCTTGCTACTTAGATGTGTCGACATTAAGTTACATAACATCAGCAGTTGTTAAAACACCCATAAAACTTGAATCTTATTCATTTCCTTTTTTGATATCGCGGGTTCTATCTTCTCATACTTCTTTACTAGAGCTGTAGAGTTTCTTTGCCTTTCTGAGATGAACTCAAGTTCACTCGGACTATATTTTTCAATACCTTTAGGACTATATTTTACGTGGTTAGGTCTAGTCAGATATATGTCGTTACACAGCTCACATTCAAGTACTTTACTGAACGAGGAGCCTGGGTTAAAATTGGAAATGTCGTTATATTTTCTGGTGTCATTTGGAATCCGTATCTTATTCAGAGATTTCTGATCTCCAGACTCCCGTAGATCTACAGAGCGACCTGCTGTTTTTAAACATTCACACCATTCTGATTATACACAAACTAAAAACATTTCAAACTTAAACCCTCGAGTTGTTTTAATATGCCTTGTTCGATTATAGGCTACGGTGTTTTTCCTTATGAAGTTGACCTATGTGTTCAAGTTATTTATTTATAAACCTTCAAGGAAATAGTTATCACGTCTTTATTTATGGGACGTGCATCCCGAAGATGTTATTTAAAATTCCGTTTTTATTTGTTTAGAGTCTATAAAAACATATATATTGCTGAACGTTAAAAAGTTTTAAATGCGGTAGATTAATTAGCTCTTCTTATTGTGATATTCGGAGTTGGAAAGCGCTCTTGTCTGTGACGCCTTAATTATCGAAAGTTACCAACTCGTTCAGATCAGAAGTCAAGGATGAATGATTTTGAGGATATATTTGGAAAGTTGCATATATGCTGAGGTGCGTTTGATTTATTCTGGCTAGTATTTGCGTGGGATGAGAAGTACGAACTACTAGTGTGGATGCATGACCGAGCGTCTTCAGCCAGGGTACGTTCAGTAAAACTACTAAGGTAAGCATCAATGTCGAAGACCTAGAGAACTATTTATTTCGGGGATTTATTTACCTCTATATATCCTTTCATAATTGTATGTTCTACATTCCCACTGAGTAGTCTGTTCTCATTTTCGCTGTTTTCTACTATTTTTTAGCTTCCTTTAAGCACAATCACCTTATCAATGACAAGTAAGTAAAGTAAATTCAGACTAGACGCGAACCGATTTATTTGGGTTCTGTTCAGGAACATCTGATGCCCTCCTAGTCTGAACAAAGGTTTAAGTATATTATGAATGAATAATTAAGTCAGTTGAAATCATGAAGCTGGTAAATATGAGAGTTGACTTTTTAACTGGTTTCGTTTTTGAAGCCTGTGTTTAACTTCATCGGATTTTACGTGACCTTCCTGAAAAAGTTATATAACCAATTTGAAGTTCTAACATCAATAGCGTGAGGATTACGTTCCTATGGTAATTCGTCCTTTGTTTATAATTTCTCTTCCTTTTAAATGTAGAAAGAAAAAGTTCGAAACCTTATTTTTGGTTGCATCTCAGTTTTGGGAGGCGTTTTAATCCATTTCGCCTTTGGTTTCTTCTATAGTACTGGTATGTTTTTACCTACTTTTACGACCTTCTCAGCTAACATTGTACCCTATATTATTAGTTACATCGTAGTACGGGTTGACCCGGAATTGCCAAATACATCATCAGTTTGGATATCTGGTATTGCTTTGGCTATGCAGGGCGTTTCTATGCCATTTGGTGGATTGGTTGCCAGGAAGTGGGGCTTTCGTATTGTTGTTGCTGTCAGTTGTTTACTTGATAGGTAAGAGTTTTGTTTATTCAGTTCGTTGTGTGCTCTTACTTTATGCTTTACTGTAGTTACTTTACATGAAGGATGTCGAATTGGAAATCAAGCAAATGCATATTGCATTAACCCATACATTTTCCGTCAGTCTTAGCAATTATAGCTTTTTATTCACGTTTGAGGGCCTTGTCAACTTATCCTATAGCATGAAGGTTTGGATTAAACATTTTCACACGCTCACCAGGAGGTATTCTAAACAAGTTGAACGCTTGACTTAAATCTACTTACGTCAATTAAGCCTCCCTTGTTGCTATAGGGTTCTTTTCGTCATAGTAAGACTTAGCATTTATATTCGAGATTGTTGCGATGTCTTTCTACATTATTATTTGTTTTAATATATTAGTACAGATAAGCACGAAAATAAATATTCACTACACGAATAAGAAAATGAGGTTGTGAAGGAATAGAGAAAGGATAGGGTGTATAATCAAGTGAACAAGAAAGAAAAATAAATGAACAAGAATAAACTATAGTGGAAGAACCAAATCAGTTAAAAAACACAGCTAGGAAGAATTATCATTTAACTAAGCTCACCTCCTTTATTCTGATTCATATCTGTCAGTGTCTCAAGCTACTAATTTGCTTTATCCCTCAGATCTCAACTAAAAATTCGTGATGTGCCGATAGTTAACAGTTTTATAGAGCTTTCTTTTATACCCCGAATCCATGCTACAAATTGATTATCCCTCCGCATTTTTCAACTAGTCACAGGGTCGACGACAAACTACGATGTGAAAGTCTCTGAGTTGACGTTCGCACCGCATTTCCAGGACATTGAAGTTGATGTTTCAAGATGATGACACCGATCGAGTTATCCTGACTGTTGTAGAACGCATTAGCAAACCACCACTTTGCTAACATATTGTTGTTAGTGAGTTTTAGAAACCCTTCAGATGTATCGATGTCTGAACACAGCGACACATTTAACACCTTTAATTGGGTAAGGCCATGATTTACGACATAGAGCAGAATTGCTCTCACCGATAAGATGTAACCCTAAACTTTTACAACCAGAGTAATATCAAGATGGTACCAAAGATGATTTATATCGGGATAAGCCACAAATACTCACATATTTAACTAAGCACACGAATTTTTTCACTAGTTCTAATAGGCCACGACAACACTCCTTCCGATTGGAGGCAAGTAGCAAACTTTCACTGGTGGTGGATTCAGACGGATTTCCGAATGACCGTACTGATCATTAATGGACTTAATTTATTATTCTGAAATATTTTGAAAGATCAAAAAGTAAAAAATCCAGTTTCGTTCTCCCAAATATCTTTCATAGACCTACATGAAAACTTATTGTTTGTACTTGTATCCTCAAATAGAAACATTTTAATTTTATTCAGTCTTAAAATCGCAGATTTGAGATGAAATGTTAGACTAAATGATTTTATTTTTTAGATTAAAAGCGCTTTTTTGGGCTGCCTATTTGATCTACTACATCAAGTAACTCAATTTAAAAATTTCAGTGTATTGATTTGAACAAATATTTAGTTTAAACTGATCGGTTTCTTATCATAGGCGGACTCAATTTTCAATATTATACAATTTAGTATTTATTTTGATAAAACAATGTAAATGTGTTATGGTGTTTTCGTTTTCTTAATTACAGTATTAGTATTTTTCTGACTTACGTCACTGTACAGAGGTCCTTTCCTGGAGTCATCATTACGTATTCTGTACTGCAAGGGTTGGGTCTGGGTTTTGGCTATTCCGTAGTATTGTCTGTGGCCGCAACGGTAAGAAAGTAAATTGTCTGCATTTCAAAGTTTTTCATAAAAGTGATAATGTTTTATCTGGCCATGATCACTTGAAGGTTTTAGACAGTAAAATTATTTGTTGCTAAAGTCAATTCAGCTTTGTGTTATTGTAAATAGTAAATCGTAGAGCTCACCAAAGTGAGTCTGGTTTTCATATATGGTAACAAATGCGTGAGATAAGATTTGAAATAATCTATGAGATAAATTTTATTCTTGGGATCAGATTACTTCATATTTACAACACCGTTCATTTTTATTACACGTTCTAAAATGTAATATTTTAGCGCAAACATGAAGTAATTTTTTCATCGTTATTTTTAACAAATTTTAATATAACTTGAGACTTCAGAATGTATAGCCCATAGATTAAGAAATAAGACTGTAAAGGAATAAATATAGTGGATTAAAATGATCAAAATAAGTAAAAAAGAATAGTATATGATGAAAAATACGGCCCCTTTACTCATAAAAAATATAAATGGAAATTATAAAACGATCTTCTCTGACTTTTATTGTAAATTACGTTGGGTACTTCCTCAAGCCATTGAGACACACAGTCATCAAGACTCCAGCTGGAGATTCCTAATAGATCCATCGATGCCAGTACTAGACAGCTTGTTCATACGTAGACGCCATATCATAATCTAACCACCTCTACTTTTTTCAATTAGTCCCTGAGTCGGCAATCGGTGCTAGAGGTGTGAGCTGCTGAAATAATATTCGCAACACATTTACAAGCCATAGAAGCTGGTGTTTTAATATTGAAACATTAACTAAATTTTTATCACTGCTATCTATCACATTGCAGAATCATAAAATTGTCTACATAGTGTTGCCACAATGTCATTAATCCTTCGAAAATAACAATAATCAAACACAATCACCTTTCACAGTAGTTAAGTTTCTCGAGTATAATATAAAATTGTTCACACCACCGAGTCGTAGATCCAATATTTTACAACCGGCAATTGACGTTGATTGCCACAAGCCATTTTGGTTTTCGCCAATATGTGGATTGATCTCAACTGTCACTCAACCACAAGCTCTCACATCCGGGTTTTAATTTTAGTACATAAGCATTTATTAAGTATGTTTATGAAAGTGAATTTAGTGTGTAGGCACGATTCTGGTTTTAAAAGTCTTTGTCATACTAGATTATATGGTGTTTTGATACTTATTCGTTTTTGATTCAATTTATTCATTTGTACAAAAACCATGTAATTACTGAATAATAGTGGTTTCCAAAACGACGTGGTCTCGTAGTTGGTGTGATTGTTGGTGGCTTTGGCTTAGGAGCCCTGGTATTCACTCCGATAGAAACTGCTTTAATCAATCCAAGCAATATCCCTGTTGACCCGAAAACAAGGTATTATTTACTTTTAGTTTTTTTTGGCTAAAATTTACATAAAGTAATCCGTTTGTTCATCTGTATGCTGTCAAAGCCAATATCATTATGGTAAATCCGTAAGCACTACACACATAATGCGACTATATTTTTAAATCTTTATAAATGTAGAATTTTCTTACTAAAAGCCTAGCTTTATTTATTGTTCCTAATAGCGCGTTCTTGGACTATTACTTTGAAACGAATTCGTTCATTTTGAACAGTTAAATAACTTAGAACTTGCAGAGTACTTACAAATTGTCATTTAGTTTGTAGTCCGAAACTTGAGTTTTGTGCATCCATTTTGTACATGTAACTTGTAGGTGGAAATTAACTATTTATTGGATACTTCGCACAAGACATCATTGTACTACGTACATGATTGATAGTATTTATCAGGAAAGTCTTAATTTTTTATTTATTTAGGGTTCTTACAAAGCAAATGACTAAGTAGTAAATTTTCAGGACGTATGTAATGTATGTAAAATTCAGATGTTGAAGCAGATTTAGAAGTATGAAGTTTTCACGTAGTCGAGCTGCAAAAATTTTGTTTCAGACCGATAGAGTATATTTTTGATGACCTTATTAGAGAGAATGACGTTTGCTTTCATTATACTCTGTGTATTACAATGACGTAATTCCTAAATTTAATCTATTGGGTGAAATCTTAAGACAAAACCCCTAGAAATGGCTCCTCAAATCACTCATTTGTGGTGATTTCGAGTGACAACTTGGACCGATGAGTATATGTGACTGGTCCTACGTTGTACCTGACTGACTGATTTTGAGACCCTAGTAGCAACAAAGACCGCGATCAGGAGATTTTATGGAGGGTACTCACAACCACCTAAGAAATGTTATACAAATTTCACTGATTCACTGTTTTGTAAGCATCATGATGAAACGTTTTACTGCTCTATTTGAATATGGTTTATTTCATGTTTTAAATTTATAATTCAACAAATACATCTATTGATGCGTTTCAGTCGCTTTGAGTTTGCACCAGTTGTTTTATAAGATTGTTCTCCATCGTCGAACTTGATTCAAACATTCTGATACTGCGTGTCCTGTCGAGGTTTACCTGACAGCAAACACTTTAGGGGAGGGGAATCGAACACACGAGGTAGTGGCTACTGACAGTTTTTGTGTTGCGTCTATGCAACTTGTGCTGAGAAGCTTTTATTGTCGCCATCATAACTTTCAGTGTCAACGTTTCTATCACCTTTTAAATACAGACTCAGACAATGTTGGAATCCGATTATGGTAATGTTGGTGTGTAACAGGCCTTGTATTTCAGTGGTCAAAAGCGAATTGAATCAGTGTTAATAAATGATTCAAATTAACGTCGAATGTAGCTGGATCAAAGATTTTCTCTACATCCACTCGACAGAGCAGACAGGTAATAGCTAAAATTCTGTGATAAAGAAGAGAAAAACCATCTAGGTTTGTCAATCAACTTTGTAAGCACACAATGTATTTGGGTGAATAATATGAGCATCTAAGTTTGTGAGTAACGTTTATAAGCGGACACTCAAACTTTTATGATGACTTCAAGGTGTGGTTGTCACAGCATTCAACTGAAATGTAAAACTTGGAATTCGGGACCGTTCATTCAAACCAATGTCATTTTATTTCATAAAAACTTTGTGAAAGTGAAGTACAGTAATGTCTAGAGATACTATCTACGTATTCATAACATAATAGCTTGGTGAGATGTGGTACCAAGAAATACACCACACAAAATAAGATAAGAAAAGTCGTGTTAGCCGAATTTTCAGTATACTGTCGGCAGACATATCTGTTTTGAAGATGAATACAATCATCACTTTCTTGCAATGGAGTAATCTCACGTTGCCATACCTTTTCTAAACCACACAGTCAATTCTTAGACGAGAAGAACACCATACATCATTGAAGAAAGTGGAAGTAAGTTGTCGGTGTCAGGTATCTTTTAAGTGGAGTTTATTTGAAACCTGAGCTTTAGTGAGTCTGCTGATGTTCTTCACTCTAAAATTATAGGGTAGTTTGGTTTAGGATTTTAATACGGTCAACCAAGTAAAACCTCAGCTGGAGTACGTCACTTGAAATCGCGAACACTCTTGAATATTGCTAACTGTCGTTCTATTAACCTTACAGATTTTCTCATTGAATCCAGTTGAATAATCGGAGTTTGCTTCCGAACCAATATTTGCTGTCCCTATGCCTCAGTCTAGAGGCCTTAACTGACTTTCGCGAACGTTTCTCAAGTCATTAATTAGTCACACTCTTGCATTTACAACCTACTGACTGTTGGAAGGTAAAGATACTATAAAGTGTCTACTCAAATCTTGCACTTACAAATGTGGCGTTCTATCAAATCATAAATGGTTCCAATCAGAACTCACTTAGCCACGTGCAAGTCCGGATGGTTTACTCTTTTTGACCAGCTGATAGCTAGTCTGATATTTATCTCAACTGAGTACTTGATAAGAATGCTAGTTGTAACCATTTTACGTCCATCAATCTGTTTCGGATCACAACCAAAATACAAAAATAGTGTTGCACATTGTAGAATATAGTCAGAACTCAGGGCAGTGCGCACAATGGAGCACGGATTTATTTGGTTATATTTAAAGAGCTCAATGTAAGAGACGAAAACTTGTGAGCATGCTCTCTCTTACAGTAAAATTTTTATTCTGGATTACTGTCCTTCATATGGAGACTCTCATGCTCTTCAAATACCTCAACTAAATAAAGTAGATGGTTGTGATTGATGAGTTTTACTACTAAACCTTTGATCTAAATGTCTGATCCAAAAAGTTGTTGGTCAACGCTAGCCGATAATTAACGCTTTACTATATGACATTCGCTTTCTGAAAGTACTGGAGAAAATGTGTACTGCTTTCGAAATGTGGATATACCAATTCTCCTATATATACTTATTACATCAGCTAACCAATTTAAAGGCTTTGATGTACGTTTTCACATACTTTTATAGAAACACTGCTTTCCCATTGAGTGAGAGGGATCTCTATCCACAAGGTTAGAATCGGGTGATTATCGGGAGTAGGTCCTATCTTTTGTAACTCATACCATGAGTTCTGTACATTGACTATAACAACATGTATGCATTTTGTGCACCTCCTTTTTTCTCATTTAATTTTCTACAGGCATTTTACGCATCCTGATATCCTTGATCGGGTTCCAGTTGCGTTTTTGATTCTTGGTGGTATTCTTCTTGCATTACAAATAATTGGATTTATATTATTGCGTCCAAAACCACTTGAAAGTGTAAGTAATGAAATAAATACTTTTCATTCATTTTGATATCAACTTACAGTACATTTTAACTTACTCATTTTATTTACATCTTAAAATCATCGAAAGTACTTTTAACATGATTTATTTGATTCATGGTAAAAAAGAACGATTTTTGGGCGTTCGAGTGAATTCGTATTAAATAATAATACCCTTTTTTCTCCATCAAAAATACCACCAACCAACAGTCTTCCTACAAATCGGATGATACGTTTAAAATATAGGAGGAAATTATGAAAATGTTTTGGCAATTCATTTGTGACTGTATAAGTGTATCTGTTTATGAGGTTTCAGTTAAAATGTATACTTATTTCTTGGACGATAATTATTGACTGAACTAGAATGCCTGCATATGTATAGTAAACAATACACTAATGGATTCGTATCACACAACTAGTTTGGTAATATCAATGATTAATTTGTAGTGGATGAAGGTACATGTTTTGAATAAAAAATTCTGCTGATTAACACGGTAAGTTCTGTTACTTTGCTTTATACTAGTATATTTATAATATCCAACATAAACTCTAGTAAATTTCTCATCACTCACTCCCTATAATACATTAAATAATTTGTATTAACTTCCTTTCGACTAGACACAAGATCGAGACACAGAACTGGTTGTGCGAAATAGAATAAATTCTGATCCTAATCCAGTTATTGTAAGTTTATTTGGCATTTTTCTAAATTTAATTTAATGAACAATTTTCTGTGTATTGTTTTCTCGAAACTTTCCATACATTTCAAACTACAAATGTCACTTGTGCAATGTACAGTTATATTTTACAAATAATATATGGATTCATTATTATCTGATGCTTTTCATATATAACACATTATTGAACTAAAGACTTTCAATAGGACAATTAAGTGTTACTTACTGTTTCATTTTACTGATTAAATTAAAAGGTCTCACAAAAATGAGGTTACAGAACTTGATAATGATTTTTTTCATGTATTTTACCTTTCATTTATTATCTGAAATTTAAAATATAGTTGCGTATATCATAATCAAAGCGGACCATATCTATACTGTTAGTAATTGTCATTACCAAGGTTTGACTTGATAGTCTCAAATAAATTGTGCATTGTGTAAGTTGATAATAAATATTATTATTACAGTTTAACAACTTTTCCATGAATTTTGTTAAAAATATAAAAACAGAAATGTCTTTTTATTGAATAATAATAAATCGAATAAATTATCATAGGTTTGTATTGTGGTTTTGTTATTTATTAATGAGTGTTCAATGTAAATTGTTTAATAATGTATGAAAATCAGTTATATTATGTGTACATTAACCTAAGATTTTCAATGATTTCCTCAGAGAGAATATACACAAGAGGAACCAAACTTGTGAGTGTGTTATTAATAATACACAGCTCTAGTTATTAGTCATTCTTGCCCTAACCAAACAGCTCTCAGCTTATTTTTTAAGTTCACTGTTTTCTTTTATAAAGCTCTGTGGATGTATTATTTGTTGTGCTTTTATTCTTTTATGGTTACTACTTTGAATGTTGTGTCTTAATACAATATTCATATAATAGCGTTGATTGCAGAACTTTCTACTGTAATTTTTTTTCAAATAAATAGTAAATTATACACTTGACTGAAAATATCTAGAGTGGCACTTCGAAATAAGTCCTTGTGATTAATATATTTTGTGATGGTTTAAGATATCGATTTCCGTGTGGAGCTGCACCTAAGGTGATGCTTGGATCGACATCTGAAGCTGTACCTATGAAAATTGAAATCTAGTAAACAGTGAAACACTAAGAACATTCACAATCTATTAGTCAATGTTTAGAAATCATATAATAGAATAAGTGTACAGTACCAATTTAACTCCCAGATTTTTCTATTTCTTTTTCAGGGACGTTAGCGTTCAACCCAAACAATTGTTTCATTATATAGACTTTTATCTTTTATGGTTTGTAATGTTCTGTGACATTATACCAATCACTATAATAACATCGGCTTATAAAGTTAGTTGATTAAAGTCCTATTATTCATGAAGTAGAGTTTATTCGTTATTTTTTAAATTTCTTCTATTAATTTTTCTTATATATCCATTGTAGATACTGGTAAATAATAGAAAAGCATACCATTCTTCGTATCCATCCTTTAAACTTACACATTATTTGTACCTCACCATCGTTATACACCTATAAATATTTTGGCGTGTACAGATGGACAAAGTATTCTCGTTTACTTTATTTGGTTTGCAGCCGGAGAGTTTTTCAAGTCAATTTTTCTAATTCTGTTGTTCTGTGTTGCCGTAAATCTGTTATATTTCGGGTTCCGCGTGCGGGATCGTGGATGCGCATTGCTGAGAGGTCCCGTGCTAAGACGAAACGGCCGTCCAGTCTTTTCATGGTGATCTAGCTTAAATCGACTCATGAATTCGACTTGTAAATCGCTACAATTTCCATAAACCCCCATCCTGAATAAAAATAAATGGCAAAATTCTAAGGATTGAAGTTTTGCATTGTTTATCTGTTTACTTTGAGTTAATTCATTTTATTTTGCTTCAGATTCATATTTGTGAAGCTGAATATCCTCTTAACAGAGTGACGAATTCATGTTTATTCCGATACTTCTTGAAATATTTCATTTTCATTAGTCTTACAGAAATTGGTGGTTCCTCCTGGTGTTAACTTCTTTAGCTCCACTCATTATTGTTTTATAAATGAGATTTTAAGTCATAAAATATTAATAATATTTTGACCAAACATTTCAAGATGCAGTTGCTGCATATTTACAGAAAAGAGCTATTGGAAATTTTCTATTAAAATTTGTAAAAATCTATTAGCAAGATCCAGATCTGATCAAAGGATATTCCAAAGAGGACGCGCAAAAGTCCGCTGATTGGTCCACTTTCAAACGAGCGACGCTAGAGGATAACTGGAATCTGCAATAACTTAGACTGACTTGTTGTTTTTCATAGAATGTCTTAACTTTCTCTCCAAGTTGTATTGTGATTTTGAAACTAGTCGAGTTGGCAGAGTCTGAGGAATACTAGGTCGAATAATCTAATCTAAATAGGTTCTGTATGCAAATAAACCACTCGAGAAGACAGATGTAACTTTGTGGAGCAGAAGTCCGGGCTCCTTAAGAGTTGCTAAACTGTTATTACTCGTCTTAAATTATTTTTCTATATCTCCAATGGTTGTTTTTTACAATTATGAAATAGGAACAATTGAAATAATGGATTGATGATGCCTTGAATAACCGTATTCACCTAATAAAAAATACTGTTTATGTATCTCAAAACTAACTAGTTATAAGTCCTAAGAAAATCTACTATACGAGAAATCCTCAACTAGTAATTTACAACTCACAGTACTTACTTTTCAAGTTGTGTCAATTTTATTTTGTTCTTATTCGTTTAGTTGTTTGGTGCTCAGTATATTGATGATGACCAATTCTTATCCATTGTGGCTACATTTTCATCTCTTTTCAATGCCGGTGGTCGTGTTATTTGGGGTGCCATTGTTGATCGATTATCCTTTAAGGTATGCAATAGAGGTATTACTATCTGGAATATTTTATCAGCAACTGTTCGTAAACTATTGTTAGGAGAAAAATCACGTTTAAATCTACTGATTTCGGTTTACGGGGCCGGAGATTTAGCTGTGTAGTTTTGAATTTCTTAACTAAAACATTCGTTTCTGTGTTTAATCATCAACTAAATGTTATAATAGTCGATTATCCACCAAGATTTAATGTGCGAAGACCAAACATTGAAGCATTTTTTTATAGTCTGGTATTAACAAAGCCAGAATAACTGTATTATAAAGCGCAACTTGTTTCCTTCATGTAACAAAACATAGTCTGAGGTGAAAGTAACGTATGCTATGTTAAGTCTTTAGCTATCATAACATTTATTTATTTTAATTATTGAGACCACCAAACAAAAAATTAAGAATGATGACAACACCAGTCTCAGAGTTTAACTGAAAAAAATTTCACACTACGCTTGCAGTTTGGTAAGGTTTTGGGGTTTCTTCCCAAACTATTTAATAAACTTGGTTAACCGATCTTGGCTAATGTTTGTGAATCTAAAAGTTAGTTACATATATTAAGTATCATCCTTTTGTGTTTCAGTCATTCGACAAATAAGGTTTTCTGCCAACTTAAATGTTAATCAAATGAAGTGATATTATTACCACAGTGGGAATTTATTCAGAATTTTAGTGCTAAAAATTAACTTCACTAGACTTTATAAACTAACATGTATTTTTATTTGAAAACTTGGGATAACACCTTAATACCTTGGCGATATATTTTAGATACCAATGATGATCATGCTTGTAATTTGGGCAATAGTGCTATTATCATTCCCACATATTGGATCACTGTCAAGTGTTGGATTAAAAGTTATGTATGCTATTTGGGTATTCATTTTGTTTTTTTCGCTGAGTGGTGTTTTCGTTATTCAACCTGCGGCTACTGGGATTCTGTTTGGCCCTTTAAATATGGCGGTGAATTATGGAATAATTTTCACTGGATTTGTAAGCGACAAGAATGTTTTTATGTTGTTATGCCATATAACTCATTTTTGTTAATTCTGATTAATGTCATGACTAAAAAGTATCTCTTCGTTACCTGAGTTGCTGTCATAACTAAAACTATTGAATGTTATACTTAAAATTCCGATGATGCTCGTTACTTTCCATGTATTGATAAAATGACAACTAGTTTCTCGTGAACCATTGGCATATGTATTTTGATTTTATTGGTTAAACTTACCGATGATTTAACTTACGTAGGCATCTTCATTAGTTCATATTCCTCAAATTTCTAACCATTTGATAAGGCTTGCTTGATTTATGCGAGTTCACGGTACTAGTAGCTCAGAAAAAATTTCTTATTTAGTGCGGTTACAGTACAGTGGTCAAGTTGGTTCTAAAGTAGTTTTATCAGGCAACAAGTAAGTGCAGAACATTAAGAAAAAAACATTAGGTACACTTAACATCCGTTTCTGTAACATTACTTGGTTACTAATAGCTGATGATTTTAAACTGTTTAGATCTCAATTCTTAACATTTTTAATTTTAACTGTTCAAATAGTTAAACTGATAATGTATTTCAATGATCGTGGACTTCAGTTTTAAGCTATAATTAGCAAAATGTCATGCGAATCGATTACATCGCAACTAAGCCCTTCTGTAGGAATCCTAAATATACTTATATTTTCTAATTCAGAGCAATTGTCTTGAACTTAATTATTCTCTTCTTCTAACTTCTCAATAGTAACAGATTTCACCGCTGTTGATGTTGCAAATGGATTTGTTAAACATCAGACAACCCCTGAGTACAGCACTTCAGAAAGATTCCACTATTTGAAGACAACTTCCATATGCCTAACCCCCTACTTTACTATTGAAATAGTGTTATCCCTAAAAGTAAGCAATTCTCCAGATGTGATTTTAGAACACATTATTTGAACATTCTAGGCTTGTTAAGGATGAGTTTCACATGCATCGGGTAAAGACGTACATATCAGACGTTATGAGCATGGGCTTTAATAGCGAAGCTATCGTTATGAAGAGACTGAAGAAGCCTAGACTGAATCCATTCTAGATAATGTTTGTGTTAACCCCAAACAGTCGTATCAGAACTCACTTAACTAGCGATATGTACGATCGTCTTAACCTCCTGTAGCAGTTTAGCACCAATTTTTGTTCTAAACTCGGTGAATCCAAAGCTCCTTATCTACTTAATAACGTTGTTCTACTTATGATGATTCGCATTCATTCATGTTTATTTCGTTCGATCTTTTAGAACAAAAAGAGAAAAGTTTGTTTAATAAAATATTACGATTTTGTATTTTTTGAAAATCTTTTTAAGACGGTTGGCAGTATTCTCTGTGCGATCATTACATACTTCATTAATACCCCGAATGCTTATTTGGTACAATTTACTGGTTGTGGTTGCGTGTGCATAGTTGGTAAGATATATTTGTGTATTAACTGTTTATGGTTTGTTGAAATACAGATTATTTTAGTGTTATACTGAGCAAACTAGACAAGATTCAAGGGATTGAATGATAATCTGCGTGCCTGTTGGTTAGCTATAGTAGGCGATGATTCTCCTAGACTAAATCATTATCAGACTAGGTCTGTTTGCACATAAACAGGTATGAACCGTAGGACTGTTCATACGTTATTTGCTAATGCACTTTCCTATTCATTTTCGTATTCTCCCAGCGTCTGCTTAAAATGATCAGTCTTTACGAGTAAACAGGGTATCTTGACCGAATATTAAACCATTAGATGTAGTGGTGACTGTCTCAGTCACTTTCACAGAACGGAACAACAGTGTCTGTCGGAGAAATTTCGGGCAGTAAATGTTAGTCTAAAAACATTCGCATGTAGCTCAAATGATTGTTATTCACTATAACAATGAATGTTAAGTAAATCATGCATTACATTTCATGATCTTTTTATTCATAAGCACTTCCAATTATAAACAATTTTTAGACGACTTGAGAGGTTTACGTTACTATTTGAGAGTGTAATACATCTATAAGTAATGCACAAATGTATTAATTGTTAATGTTCTGTATTGTTGACGGTAGTTCATCCCCATTTATTTCTCGTGAACATTTTCAGGTTATTAAAATATCCTAGAACTTTTATTATTTGAAAGCTAAGCTTGTATTTTACATAATATTTTTATGTTTTCAGTAACTATACCCGTTATCGTCAATAATATTATTCTAAAAATTTAAACAAATAAACAAATACTAGCGCCGAATTATTTAATGTTGGGTTACAACGATTTAGTATATCCCCCAAGTAAAATTAAACAGTTGGTCGTTGATCAGTATTTCGTATGAACTGTAATAAATTTCGTAAGAAGACAAGCGTCTATGTATATCAAAAAGATTCTATACTGCTCACTGAACTTAAATGATCATACGATAGTATGTTGTGTTGAGATTTCAGAAAGTTACTAGCATTAACGTTTGTTAATAACTATTAGATAATACAGTTACATTACACAAAATAGTTTTTCTTTTCATTATATATTTTTACAGCTCTAATCGCCAGCGTTTGGATAGAAGACCGAAAAATGTCAAAGCGTTGTAAAATCTGCAATTGTTGCACTACTATGTGTAAATCTCTACGAGTTGGATATCATAGTATTGAAGGTACAGAGGCAATATTAGATGATACAAGTTGAAAAAGATTAACATTTAAACAAATAGTAATGGAGCAATTTACAATTTATACATTTATTTATAAGCAGATTAGTTCTCTTTATTAAAAAAGGTACATTTGTCACAATTTTCGATAAATTAAGTAGAACATTTTGATTTTTAGTAAATAAGCTATTAAGATTTGTTGTTGCTTTGTTTTCGTATAAACAAGGTGGATGTTTTTCCATTTAGAAATGTTCCTATCAACTTTCCCAACCAAAACATTTTTATATGCAATTGTTCTGGTTTTTATAATTTATATATGTGAATGTGATTTTATAGCAAGTATTTTGCTACAATAATGTTCATTTTATTGTTGTGTGGTAATTGAATACAAACTAAAGAAAAAGAGAAATATCATTGTTTCATTTGGACAGTTGTTTTCTATCAAAATACTGGTTTTAATTAGATTATAAATTTTTAGTACTGTCAATATTGCACAGTAATATATATAATTTCAGAAATAGTAATATAAAGAATTCAATAGTCTACCAACATCTCAGAATACCGAATCCGTTTTAATCACTCTTATACGTATGGAAACTAACAGTGAGATCATAATTAATCACTTGAATGTTAAATATTTGTAACTAGCATTTTTGAGTCACACAGATCTAGTTCAGAAACGTATCATGATTCTACTTATAGGGTTTTAAGTGTGATGTAATACAGGTTACGTATTTTAGTGTAGCAATATCAATGTGTACTTAAATTTTAATTTGTTTCAAGGTGAACGTTCCGCTCGTGTCTTTACTGTCTAGTTGTAATATAGGTGTTATGAAGCGTTAATTACAAAACGTTACTCCTGAAAATCAGAGAAGCTGTGAAATTGTAACTTCGTAGATTCGAAATGCTATGTTCACTACGTAGTACTTATTTATTGTCTTCATGCTTCCTGAATTCCTCCAGACTAAAATTCGTGTTAATTGTTGTTGATATTAGAGGTGCTACGATCGAGCTATTTTAACCGTCTTAAGAAATGAGGTATTTGCATTGATTAATTCAAGTTGATTGACAGTACTTGACTAGCAATTATGAGTAAACAATGATGAGTTTGGTTATTACTCAGAGATGAACATGATATATTCCAATTTTAGTAACGACAGTTTCTGTCGTTTGTTATGTCAATACAACTTGAACTCTTAACATTTTCATTAATACCAATACTACTTACGTTAAACATATCTTGCGATTCCATTGTAATTACACTTTCTATACAGTTGATGCGTTGAACTATTCATTTAGTTTATAATTTGTGAGGCTCTTATGAACGTTAATATTGTCTCTACGCGAATATATTTAATTTTCAGTTTTCTAACGTATAGTAATGTGTAGTAATCAAAACTTTGTTAGCATGAAAATATTCACTATAAAATGCAAACAATTCTTAGTTTCATTATTTGTTAAGTATTGCTGTTATCAACTTCTTAAATCATTGATTTTTGACTAGAGAACATTTTTTTATCAGGAAAAAGAGTACGGTAAGATGTAAGTCCAGATGTTAATATAAAAAACCCTCAATTAGTAGGGTATCCTCTTCAAGATGTTTACTTTTCTTAGTTCATATCACAAATCTTACAAATCCACATTATTATGGTGCGTTGGAAGTAAGTTGAACTAGTGAACTTGTACAATAATTTTCACGTCAATTTTTCTTGATTTTGCCGATTCTTATCTATCTAAAAATTGATTAGAAATCTATAAAATTTTACACTTTTTAACTCAATAACTATTTGTTTACAAAACGTTTGCCCCCCCCCCTCCCAACGACTGATTAATTTTAGACAAACTGAAAAATTATTTATCTTAGTAAACGAATGATTTTTCTATGAATTTCATGTGGTTAACATTATCAATCTGGTAATACATCGTTCTTGATGGGATATAATAATTTAAGATTATATTCGGAAACAGTCATCTGAATTCATATCCTTTAGATGTTACATAATTAGTACTCTTTTTTACATTAGCTGATAGTCTAATTCATTCCTTCCGTAAATTATAGTAAACGCAACATCTAAATATTTGCTTAATAAAGTCAAATTAAATTAACTTTTATAGTTTTAGCGGTTCAGAATTCTTATATTTTATATATTTGTCATAGTGTTTTAAAATTGGTAAACTTGAATAACTGAATATTGAGTAATTGAATATTTTAGTATCATTATTATTTCGTTTATAGTTGTATTTTAGACCATTTACTTAGAACTAAATCACACCAACTCTGTGCATAAAATTCATGTATATAAAGTAAATGGATTCTTTATCTATCAGGTCACAATTGAATTTATTGAATTAATCCTATTAATCAATCAGCTGTTAAAGTGATTTCGTTTTGATGAACATATTACCTATCACGCTTCAGTGTATTAAGAAAAATGTACTTTTTTAAAAATTTTTGATGAGAGAAAGGTTCATGGTAAATGAGTTTACCTACTCTTTTTTCTTGATCGATCTGTATCTATCTACTAACGGTTAAACTAGAATCACTTGTTTGGTTACTTCATGTAAATCATTTGTAGTAGGGACAAATAAGTTATCCAAGCGTTTCAGTTTCATGAATTACATAAAGATCAGATGTATTATGAATTGTTTCAGTTCATACTACCGCTCATTTTCTTTGCAGTCATGAAAGTAGATAGTTTGATGAAAAGTGTGTCAGTCATGATTTGCGAGTGAAATCTAAACCGAAATTTAACTTGTACTAGGTTTCGGTGCAAGTATGAAAAGTCAGAATATTCAAAATTATTTTATTTTAATCACATTCTCATTAATATAAGCCACAATGTGATCTCAGAGCTAGATTATCTTCAAAACATTTTATTTCTTACCGAATACATTTTTATAAAACATTGATTATTGTACTCTTGTGTAACTACAAAGCGTTTCTATAGTGCCGTGCATTTTTGAAACGATTATCAAAACTTAAGTTTTCATCATGATTTAAGTGGATTGACAATTTGGGATCCTCGAAACCGTTATTTCAAGTTAAGCTAATTTGTTTATTTAGGCGAACGAATTATCACTCATCCTCTTTTCCATAAACGCAATTTCGTTCTACTATTGTCACGCTTAACTACTTTTTTCCTATTGGGATTTCTCAAGGTACTCTGTTATCAACAGGTTTACTATAAAAAAAAACAAATTATTACATTACAGGAGTAGCCAATAGGAACCTCCAGTGAGTTTACTTAGCACAACTATGCAATCTATAATTCAAAGGAATGCTGACGAGATAACGACTACCTAATTATGTTAATGGTAGTCCATGTTGGCAAAATACTCATCCAAAATGACTGTTTACGTAAAAGAATTTTTATTGCTGTCTGAAATTTCCCCTGATATGAGAACTGAATAGTTTAAATATGTTAGTGAAGCCAGCCGAACTAACTTCAAGTAATGAGTCATATAATATCTGAATAGCACATTCTACACCAATAAGTTCCACGAATTCAGAATCCTATATGCCTCATACGCTAACAACTCAAAACGAATAGAAAACATTCTGGTTAAATTCAACGTTCAGTTGACCAGAGCTAGAAAGCATACAAAAAAGTATATGAATACTTGGCGTTAAAAACTTCAATATGTTCAAAATTCTATAAAACCAATATTAAATTTTTGTCGTTTTTATGTCATATTCAATCACTGAAATCATGATCTGAAAAGATCAGAAATCGTTCCTGAATTTTCTCAATAATAAATCTATTAGAAGAAAACGATTAAGGCATTTGGATTAGAAAAGTATGATATATTGTTATTAAATTAATAAAAATTCTACTTGGTTGTATAAGATTTAAATCATGAACTACCAAGAAAAAATTGGAAGGTAAAGTGATTTAAATATATCTCTACAATGCAGGATGCAACGCCTGGTCGTATTTATAATTCTTTAAACTGATAGCGAACGTTGATCAAAATTCAGTTTTGAACATCATCTGAATATCATTTAAATCCTTAAGAACAAGCATCATCTCCGTTGGAGAAGTTAGTAGCTTTCTGAATCCATCGATGGCATGGAGTTTAAGGCGATAGAAATAACGTCTGACTGTCAGTGTGAACAATATCAATGTACAACAGTTTTCACGATGTAATGGCTTTTTATTACGTGTACTTAACTTTTCTTCTATTCACTGTTTAAAACAACCAGAAAAACCATTTAACAGGACAATACTTGTATTCTTGATTAGTTTGCATGCGACAACAGTATTACCTATCAACCTTAATTTAAGTACACTTTTATTTGTCCCTTAAAAGTCCAGATTGTAGTCATATCATGGACGTGAATACTTCCATTAATTGCTTACATTCTACTTAACTATGTAGACATGTCAATACGCACGTCTATTTAACTTCAACTAGTTTGCTAGGTTGTCGTACTCATAACACACTTATTGTAGTCCGTTACTACGGATAGGAATTAGTCAATCTATACGTTAATGAAGAGCTCTATCTTATTAATGTTATGAAATAGCTTCGAACAACGGCTATAACTGCGAAACAATTCCATCTACTTGACGAATGACAAACAGGAAGGCTAATGTCATAAGTTTTAGACTTAGTGTGATAAGAAATTCAGCTTTTATTACTGGTATAACGGATGGTTGACAATATTTTCCTCTTACACGTATATTACAATATCACGTCAATATGTTTATAAGACTAATCACGTTATATCAGAACCAGGATTTGCGACCCAAAATAGAGAATCAGATTAACACTAGAGAATACTTTATTCACCACAATTACAAGCGGTCGCACACAGTGATTCCAGAGTAGAAATCAATAATAAGGAAATTAAATATTTAATGGTCCATAAGCTGTGGTTATTTGTCCACGCTCAACGACCAGTCATATTTTACTTTCACTACCACACATCAATTAACAACAGCTGAATAAACATTTCGGGGAACTATTTTTTCGGCAACTTTGCTTTCGGGCCCTATGGATATTTCGGTTAGAAAACGATTTCAATAATTTTATC